TGCGCACAGGGACTTAACTAGCATGTCATCGATATAAACCTCTATTGAATTACCTATTTGTTCTTCAACAATTTTATTTACTAGGTGTTGTTAAATAGATCCAGCATTTTTTAGCCCAAAGGTCATTACATTATAACAATATGTTTCATACTTGGTGATAAATGAAGTCTTTTCCTACTCTTCTGGGTTCATTTGAATTTGATTGTTCCTGGAGTAGGCATCGAGAAAGATAAGGATCTCGTGGCTAGCCGTGGCATCGATCATGCGATTGATGTTAGGCAGTCGAAAAGAATCTTTGGGGCATGCCTTGTTTATATCTTTATAATATACACACATTCTAAGTTTGTTTCCTTTTTTAGGGACTATGATTACATTGGCTAACCATTCGGGATATTTTACTTCCCGAATGGACCCTACTTTGAGAAGTTTAGTTACCTCATCCTTTATGAATGCGTGCTTTACCTCGAAATGGGGCCTTCTCTTTTGTTTCACCGGTTTTAACCTGGGGTCAAGGCTTAGCCGATGCGTCGTTATCTCCGGTGGTATCCCGGTCATGTCTAAATGGGACCAAGCAAAAAAATCTATGTTATCAATAAGAAATTGATTAACCATTTTGTTGAGTTCGGGGGTTAATCCCGTTCACAGGTATACCTTTCGCTCGGGCAGGTACTCGATCAATATAACCTGTTTCAGCTCTTCGACCGTTGATTTGGTGGCATTCGATTCTTCGGGAACAATAAAAGTTTGAGGAGTTAGAAAATCCACTTCTTTTTCTATCCCCTGCTTTCCTTATTCGGTCGAGGCTGGCGGCTGTGATTGCTATTTGGCTTCCTGTTTACCTTTGACGCTCGACCCTTCCGAGGTTGATAGCGTTGATATTAGTGTTACCTCATCGACCGCAAACATTTCCTTTACGGCATGCTGCTCCCCGTATACTATTTTTACACCGTCCGTCGTTGGGAATTTCATCATTTGGTGGAGGGTCGAGGGGATTTCCCTCATGTTGTGGATCCAAGGCCTCCCGAGTAGGGCATTATACCTCATGTCGCCCTCGATCACATGGAATTTGGTATCTTGAATGGTTCCAGCCACGTTTACCAGTAAAATAATCCCCCCTTTAGTTGTTTCACTGGCCATGTTGAAGCCGTTTAAGACCAGAGTTGTGGGTACGATTTGATCTTGTAGGCCGAGTTGCTCCACTAACCTCGATCGGATGATATTCGCTGAGCTATTTGGATCCACTAAAACACGCTTAACTTGAACTTTATTTAATAAGACAGAAATTACCAGAGCGTCGATGTGTGGTTGAGAAATTCCCTCTGCTTCTTCGTCATTGAATGATAAGGAGCCTTCGGGCACAAAATCTCGGGTTCGTTTCTCCCTAGTGATTTATGCCTTAGTGCATTAGAATATGGGTCCCTGTGAAATGTCGACCCCACTGACGATCATATGAATGACATGCTGGGGTTCCTCGTGTTCATTTTTCTTGTTGGCATCCCTTTCTCTGAAATAATTCTTGGCTCGATCGCTGAGGAACTCTCGAAGGTGTCCTTCATTGAATAGATGGGCCACCTCCTCCCATAACTGCCTTCAATCCTCGATCTTGTGACCGTGCGTGCCATGATACTTGCACATCAAATTTGGGTTTCTTTGGGAAAGGTCAGTCTGTATGGGTCTGGGACACCTAGTATCTTTGATCCTTCTAATTGCCGATACAATGCCTGATGCATCAATGCTAAAGTTATATTGCTATAACCGAGGTGCCTCTGTGGGATCGACAGGCTTATCAAAACCATTTTTGCTCATAAGTCACCGAGAATTCTATTCTTGATCATTTCTTCGAGCGTCCCGACCCTTTGTTCCTTCCATCCGCGGTGTATGGTTGATATCGTTCTCTATTTGAACTTGGCTCCCTATCGACGTCCCTCTGGGTTTTACCTGCTGACCTGTTCGGATGCACTGAACCAGAAGGGGCTCCTAACTGGTCGTCCTCGACCCCGATCTTCGATTGATATCGATTGTGCACATCGGCCCAAGTTACAGCTAGATACTCGATCAAATTTTGCTTCAATTAATGTGACGCAATCGAACTCCGTTCATTCAACCCTTGAGTGAAAGCTTGAATGGCCCAATCATCCGTGACCAGTGGCAACTCCATGCGTTCCATTTGAAATCGGGATACGAACTCCCTCAGAATTTTGTTATCTCTTTGTGTTATCTTGAAAAGGTCCGATTTTCTTGTATCGACTTTTATGGCCCCGGCGTGTGCCTTTATGAAAGAATATGATAACATGGCAAATGAGTCGATTGAATTTGGTGGCAGGTTGTGATACCAAATTATTTCTCCCTTTGAAAGGGTTTCTCCAAACTTTTTCAACAGCACATATTCGATTTCATCATCGTCTAAGTCATTTCCCTTTATTCCGCATGTGTACGAAGTGATGTTTTCATTAGGATCGGTGATACCATTGTATTTAGGTATATCCGGCATACAGAACTTCTTAGGAATGGGCTTCGGAGCTGCAATCTGAGGAAAAGGCTTTTGCACAAACTTTTTCGAATCCAAACCCTTTAGGATCGGGGGTGCCCCCGGTATCTGATCAACTCGGGAGTTGTATGTTTCCATTTTTTTATCATTATCTTCAATTTTCTTCTCTCCTGACTCAATTCTCCTGGTGAGCTCCTCGAGCATTTTCATTATTGCAATATCAGTCCCTGATTCGTTACCATTCGACCTTTCTGGCACTGGCTCGATACGACTAGTGATTTCTAGCTCGACCACTTTTGGAGTCCTATGTTGATTTTGCAATTGAGCAATAGCGGCCTGCTCATCCTGTAGCATCTCGAATATTACCCGGAGGCTAACTCCTCCGTCTTCTCTGCCCTGTGTACCTCGGTCACCAGATCGGTCTTCCCTGCGTTCACTCCCTTCGGAGTCCGCGCCTAGGTCCGCATTTAGAGCAACGTGCAAACTAATATCGATTAAATCGGTGATTGTTGCTCCCCCGAGATTAGTCGGTGGCACCCCGACTCCTAGAGCAATTAATTGTCATTTTTCCAGTGAAATTCGAGACCATCATCACCATGTACGGGTTCGTTTTGTGAGTTTGGCATGCTTTAACTTGAGAGCAAAAATACTTGACAAGAACAAGTGTGAAAACAACGTATGTTATCAGAATCAACACTAAAACAATCACTATTATCCTTAGCCCCATGGTTGGCGCCAAACTGTTTAGCTAGTAATTTGAGTAACAATTAAACTTATATTGTGGTTTTAAGGATATGTGATTCAATTCAATGCTAATTGATAAACAAGGAATCAAATAGATAAAATAGAGAGTAAAATAGATCAAACAAGTATGCTAGCCAAATTTCGACCTCGACTTGTGGTAGCATCGAGGTGGGATAATAAGAATAATAAGTTATAAAGCAACTCTGATGAACACTAAGAGAAATAGCAAGAAAGTAATGGGTGTATATATATTATTTTCAATGAAGAACATGATCAGTACAAACGAATGGGATCCCTCTTTATATAATAGGGGAGTCCTAAATAAGGTACACTTCTAATTACGGAAGTAGATCCCATGATTGATACAAATAACCGCTCTTCATTTGATCCGTTCTGAATTTCTGGGGTGATCTCCGACCGGTTACGGATAACTCGTGCTTCCGTTATTGTACTTCGCTCGATGTCGGTCATACTCAATCTCGGTTGTCGCCAGCTCTGGTCTCAATGGACCTTTCGATCTTAGGACTCGATGCCTCGTCTTCGAGCTCGAGTCTGATTCGTTACGAGCCTATCCTCGATACAACCCTGTTTTGATCAAATAGTAAAATCGGGTAGCCCCGATTTCGACCGTACTCATATATGTATATGAATTGATGTATTAATGTCTAAGGGTTTTGCCAACTTATTCCGACGCTGATCACTGTCCTGATTTGACATGAGTCCATGCTATGGGCACCATCTTTCCTCCGGATGCGAATAGGATGCTATGGCTTGGAGCCTTGGACATCACTGCTAGGGCTCATTTCTCTTGGAGGTTTGGACGCGATGGTGGACGCGAAGTCCACTTGGTATGCGAGTCTAATGCTCCAAGTATGTCTCTTACAATATTTTTCCATCACTCCAAACACCCTCCAACTCCTACAATACATTTGTTACCATGTTTCCGTTTTTTACCCTCGTGTGGATCTACACATATCTCAAGGCAAATTTAATTACGTCATTAAGCATGTAATTACGTCAAATTAACGTTAACAATTTACTGCATTGTACATTCTCACCAACTTATGCACATTTGTTCTCGAATACCCAATTTTGATTGTTCTTAGGGCTATTCACATCCTTAGGCCTCTTGCCCCATATAAAACTTCAACTTGTCAGCAGAGCAGCACAACATATCAATATGGCCATCCACGAACCATACACAACAAATACATCAAAATGACCTAATATGCAACAAAATCATAATAATAATACTCATAGCACGGTTTGCGTTAAAAGTATATGAAGGGACGTCGTAATTTCATTTCTTTGCTATTAGTGTACTCCGTGAAAACCATATTAATTTCTATTATACATAGTAAAATTGAATACAAGGGTAGTGGCTAAAAGGTAAAAGACCTCTAGGCAAGTTTGAGAAGGAATGAATAGGTCCAAGGATCTTCCTATATCGATATGTTGGAAAGGCGAAGTCACATACTTCTAAGGAGGTTTAACTGACAGAGCTTGGTTTTTATTCCTTTACTCGAGACCTCTTACACTCAGAACTAATTCAATATCTTTATTGTGAGTTTGGTGAATCTGAGCTCACTTTCTAGATTCACACAAGCAACTGTGATTAGGTCAGGAATGAGAGAGATGAACTCAAGAGAGAAGAAAGGAATATGGTACTAACTTAACCCAACTACTTAACTACTAGGCCCCACAATTATAACTGACTAACTAACAAACCTAATTAACGGACTAACTACATAATAGCTCACACTCCCCCTCAAGCTGGATGGCGCAAAATGTTAAGCACTCCAAGCTTGCCTAATAGAAATGCATGTTGAGACTCCAAGACCTTTAGTAGCTGATCTTCAGTCCCCACAAACTGTGTGTTGAGTACACCTTGTTTGATCTTGTCACGCACAAAATGGCAATCGATCTCAATATGTTTGGTACGTTCATGGAAGATAGGATTGGCTACAATCTGGAGAGCAGCTTTGCTATCACAATAGACTTCCACAGGTCACTTGATGGGCACTCCAAGTTCAGCAGACAGTCCTAATAACCAAACTACTTCTGCTGTCACAGCTCCTAGGCTTCTATACTCTGTTTTTTCACATCTTCTCGACACTGTATGATGCTTTTTGGACTTCCATGAGATGAGTGAATTTCCAAACTTGACTAAGTACCCAGTTACAGATCTTCTTGTGTTTGGACAACTTGCCCAATCTGCATCACAAAAACATGTCAAACTATCTGCACCTACACTACTTAGAAATATTCCCATTCCTGGTTCACGCTTTAGGTATTTCACCACTCTTATAGCAGCATCCCAATGAGATTTTTTTGGCTCTTGCATGAACTGACTGAGAGTTTGAACTACAAACACAATGTCTGGTCGTGTGATAGTCAAATAGATCAACCTACCAATCAACCTTTGGTATTTACTCATATTTGTAAGGATTTCATCTCCTGCAGTGCAAGTGTATCTGTCAAACTTAGCAGAAGTGAACATATGGTTAAGATCTATGGGAGTTAAAACTGGCTTAGCACCACTCTGTTACATCCTGTATTTTCCTATGTTAAAGTTTCGTCGTAAGCTAATCGATGTAAGTTCGGGAATGAGATTATTTTGAAATTATAAGCATTATGCTATTTCAAACAAGTGATAAGTAATTTCGTGAAGCTGAGAGGGAAAGCAAATCAAAGAAAATAAATTTTAGTCAATGTTTGACATGTTGGGATAAAATATGGCCCGAGCTAAAATACCCGATATTTATGGACTAGTACCATACAAGGTGCCCCATGACCATGATAGTAAGGTGTATAAGGTGTGTTAAAAGAGAGTAGTATTTTAAATAATTTGAGATAATCCTTAATTATGTGAATTATGGGATAATGGAAAATTAACTAGTTAATTAATAAATGATTAATCAAAGTCTTTGGATAAGACAAGTGAGCCAAAACGTGGCAGCAAGAATAAACTTAAATCACTGACTCTTACACCATTAGCAAGGTGGCACACTTAGGGGAATTATTTTGCCAAATAACCTTTATCAAGTGGGGCCCACACTACTATAATAATAAGCCTCTCTAATTCATTTAAGAGAGCTATTATTCAGAATTGATTGGGTAACGTTATTAGCTACAAAAAGACTTCTCAAAAATCACAAAATGAAGGCGGTGACAGATGAAGCTCTAGCAAATTGTTTTACCCGAATTATATTGAGTTATAGCAACGGGATTTTGCGATTCTAAGGGGAGTACGGTGCAATCTTTTCCGAGAACATCATACGGATTTTTCCCTACTCCAGGTATGTTAAGGCTAAGCCTTTCCTTCATTTTGCATGATCTCGTAATTACACGGGTTTGATAACGAGGCATAAAAAAAATTCATATCCCGGAATTTCCGCATATTTTCCTAGTTTTGTAAGTTACAATATTCAAATCTTCTTCCAGTCAAGAGAGCAGAGAGTTTATATATACAGTATTAAAGTATTTTCATTACCATCGAGCTATAATCGCTGGGCATGCCCCTATTGGGCAACCTCTGATCAGATGGTAAGTTATATACCGAGCCTACTGTGGCCGAGCACCTATGAGCGAGCCCATTTGGTCGAGATACAGAGACTAGTATGGCTGAGCGCCTATGAGCGAGCCTAGTACATCAGAGCAGTTTTATATATATATATATATACATATATACCGAGCCTTATAGAGCTGGACAACTATTTTACTTAATATATTGAGAAAGTTGAGTCAGTATCAACAGGTAAGCATATCTTCAGATTATCTTTGACTTCCAGCCACTTGCAATTATTATATTATCAATTCAGTTTTAGCTTTCAGTATATTGCCTTACATACTCAGTATATTAATTCGTACTGACGTCCCTTTTCTGGGGGCGCTGCATTTCATGCGTGCAGGTTCAGACAGACAGATGGGTAGACCTCCTTATTAAGTGTTGCTCGAGTTCAGCTTGATCGGTAAGCTCCATGCCTTTCGGAGTTGCCAGGTCTAGAACCTTATGTACATCTTGTATATATATGTATATATGTTATGAGTAGGTCGGGAAGCTGTTCCGATCATAGTATATCCATCAGTAGAGGCTTGTAGACATATCCTATCAGTTAGTGCAGTATGTTGGGCTTGCAGGCCTTGTAGGTATGTTTGGTTGGGTTGTCAGCTGTAGTAGTTATGACAGCCTTGTCGGCCCAGCTTTATATTGATATTTAGTCAGCATTCACAGTTATCTTGCAATGTGGCCCATGGCCAAAGTATGACATCATATGTTCATAGTTCCTTAGTCGCAAGTTGGTACGCAAGGATAGGTGATGCACCAGGTGCCAGTCTCGCCCCAAGTTTGGGGCGTGACAAAAGTGGTATCAGAGCAGTTCTGTCCTATGGAGTCTACAAGCCGTGTCTAGTAGAGTCTTGTTTATGGGTGTGTTGTGCACTACATTTATAAACAGGAGGCTACAGGGCATTTAGGATTGTCACTCTTTCTTCTTACTCTAGATCGTGTGGTAGAGCTCACTTATAAGAATTCAAATCCCGAACATCTATTTTATTCGTAATAAGACGTTGCCTACTTTCAGAAAGACGATCGATAAGAGATATAGCTGTGGAAGTGTTGAGTTAGAGGAACTCGATTTTGCATCTTGCTTATGATGAGTAAATGAGAGGCCTTCAGCCGATCATGCGTGTGCTAAAAGGTGTACGGTTTTTGATAAGGACCCTTTAGGAAAGAATCCTTATCCATTCTTACAGTAAAGAGGAATAACGGAATCGGAAGTTAGACACGAGTTGCAGCAAGTAAAAGAAGCAAGGTGAAGAAGGGTATGGTACCAAGTTAATAAAGATTATTACTATTTACCATTCAGGAAGGAAGATATAAGCATTTTGAATTACCTTCAACAGTAATAGATGTACGTACAATCGGCCACACCTATCTCAGTCATGCCCTATGTGAGCTAACAGATATGGTTTAAGAGAAGGACATGATAGCAGGATCCGGCTGGGGTTAGAGTAACCCAAAATGATGAATTAATGGTTTGCGTTAGTTGACATTTCCAAAGGATATTACAAAGGTGCTAATGGATCTCTTTGTGAGATACTTAGATGGTGCACTCTAAAATAGTACAGCTAGATATGAGTACTACAAAGACGTGCACTGGATTCCTGGAAGGGACAAATACTACCTTAGTGTGGCTCTCGTCCCTAGTAGAGAAAGAATGTTTGGAAATTCGAAGAGCCAATGGATGGAGCAAGGGGAGCTAAAAGCAAAAGAATTTTTTGTTCGAATTTTCAGAATAAAGTGATAGATAGAAATATTAGCAGGGAAGTACGAAGAGGGATAATGAAGCATTATGAGTGTTAAGGAAAAAAAATATTAGTTCAGAAGTGAGAACCACTGGGAAGTTAGTCAAAATATTAGTTCAGAAGCAACCCTACAAGCACAAGGGTGTGGAGATAAGTAACTACGGGTAATTATAGGCGAGGAAGAACATCAAAAATTCCGTCAGGCATACGATGTGATACACTTGCAACCTTACAAGAGTCAGAGGATCCCCCCCCCCCCCCCAATTACTACAATGAAAGACTAGCTTGGGAAATAAGAAAGAAGGCTTCAACCTTGACATGGTAACTTAAAGGAGAAATGGTCATGTAACAACAGTCTCACAACAATATTGTATGCACTCCATAAGAAAATGGCACCTACCGTGGCTAATGAATGGGAGGTAAAAAATCAGAAGTGATATCCAAGATCATATGAGTTGTATAGAATTCCAACATGTGTGGGCACTAAGATAAGCTAAGTACGCACACAAAAGGGGGGAAGAAAGACCAGGAAAAATAAAAAACTTATGTTTAAAGAAATCTGAGAAGGAACAAGAGGAATTATTCGATCAATGATCTGGAATTAGTTACGTTATGGACGCACTTAAGAGTTTGGAGTTTTATACATGCAACATATACAGCCATGGAAGATTCCGGTATAAGTTAAAAGAAATAATTGAGCCCAGGTCATAGATCGATTTGTTAAAGGATTACATCATGGATATTCCATAGTGCCCATGAAAAGCTAAAGTAATAACTAATACCATGAGCCGTAGATCGGAAGATAGCTTAAGCCTACATAAAGGTTGATCGGAGGGAAAAGGAAACTAAAGAGTTGCATCAACTAAGTAAATTAGGAGTCTGATTATTGGACCCGAAAAACTATAGAAATCGTGATTGAGAACGTTGCAGAATCACTCTTAATATCAGAGATACAAGAGAGATAGTATAGTAGCCATATTTTATAATGGCTCTACGATAAAGCTAGTTAGGAAAATACCAGCCTCATAAGAATTCAGTATGAAGCTCCCACCGGATTGTATAGGCACCAGAGATGCAAGTATTATAATAGAAGTTCAAGTTATGGACGTGAATTATACCTATGTGGAAGGAAGGTCATGAAAGAGATAAAAGATACGATGCAAGATTTTAAGGTGGTAAGGTAAAAGTGAACAATGTATGAGATACTCAAATGCAGAAGATTGTGAATCGTCCATACTACGGATAAAAGGCTAGAAGCGCGGGGATTCAGTATCCAGGAAGAATAGCGGTTTCATTAGTGGCATATCTTCCAGCCTATGGTTTCTAGTTATCGAGAGGTCTAGTTAAAAGAGTAAAGAAGAGTTTGAGACGATGTGATGTCTTGCTTAACGTTCCAGAATAACATGAGGAAATCTAGGGTGCAAGCAAGTTTAAGGAAGGTTGCGAGCAGTATAAATGGATATGTATGGGTCGCAAGCTAAAGTATGGTAGAGAGACAAGATTGTAGGAAGACAGGAGTAAGGATAAGAAAGGGCGAGTGAGAAGGTGACGAGAATGGATAATCCCTCAAGACTAAGCCCACGAAATGAGAGAGAGCTGATGGGTTCTCTAAATTATATAAGGCTCAGTATAGCCAGAATGAACTCAAAGGAGTCTAAGACTAGTATCATTTAGAAGAGATGGAATGCTGCCCTTGGTAGTAGAGTAAGGGCATAATTTTGATAGATAAAGAATAACGTTTGGGCATTCGATTGAGTAATGACTTGAAGAGGATTTCATGAATTGTAAGGGACTAAAATACTCATAGAAGGTGAATCACACTGGGATGCTATAAAGTACGATCATGGAAGTATAGTATCACTCCTAGGTGGATCAATTTAATTATTCCGGATGTCCCCAATGAGACGCGAGCCCTAGCGACGTTGTTACATAAGAGATCGAGTTATCAGTGGTAGATGATGAATCAACATTAAGGTAAATCAACAATAGATAGATGAAAGTTCAACAATATGAGATGAAATTAGACCATCAGTCTTAAGGATAAGCAACGAGAGTAACCTGGAGTTGGTTGCAGACTTCAGTAATGATAAATCGAAGTAAGAGTATGGTATAGTATGACCTACGTATATGCAGTAAAGTCATAGGAATGGATAACCAGGTCTACGAAATAAGATATAGCAATATTCGCAAATT